GACATGAGGTGACTGCCCCATGTGCTCCCCACTTATACGGACCAGGCTGCCCCACATGCAAATTTCTCTGCAGGCTCCAGGGTAAAACCCTCCTTGGGCTGTGAACTCACAGCTCTCTCCTCACACAGGGCTGAGTCTCTGGGGAAGGCAGAGCTGTGCTCTAGAAGATGAGGCTGCTGGGTCTTCTCCTGTGCCTGATGACAGCCCCCCAAGGTGAGAGTCTCAGATGTTAGACATGGGTCTCTGGGGTGGCTGTGACTGCACATGAGTGACAGACTGATTCTCCTTGTCCCCAGGTGTTCTGTCCCAGGTGCAGCTGCAGGAGTCGGGCCCAGGACTGGTGAAGCCCTCGCAGAGCCTGTCCCTCACCTGCACTGTCTCTGGTTACTCCATCACCAGTGGTTACAGCTGGAACTGGATCCGGCAGCTCCCGGGGAAGGGGCTGGAGTGGATCGGGTACATCTGTTCTGGTGGGGGCACATACTACAGCCCGTCCCTCAAGAGCCGCACCTCCATCACCAGAGACACGTCCAAGAACCAGTTCTCCCTGCAGCTGAACACTGTGACCTCCGAGGACACGGCCGTGTATTACTGTGCGAGACACACAGTGAGGAGAAGTCCGTGTGAGCCCAGACACAAACCTCCCTGAGGGGACAGGAGGGGCTGGGCTTCAGGGGGCGCTCGGAACACCAGGGGGCGCTCAGGACACACTGAGCACAGGGACCAGCCCCAGGAGCTTGTGAAGACCTGGGTGGGGAAGGGATTTCCTTTGGGAACAGAGGTTTCCTGTAAAACTTCTCAGCTGCCCCCAGGGACAAGTCTTGAATCATTTTTCTTACTCTTATGTCTCCTATTCTCAGAAGTCAATAAACAAAGAGGAAACACTGTTCAGAATGACATGTCACCAGTGATAGGGACCCTTCCTTCACCAAATTCCTGTTTGTTTTGTTGTTATTTCTTGAGAAAGAGACCATCCTGAGGACTCTCATCTTCCCTGTGGTTGGGAAACATTTCCCACAGAGAGACCCCAGCACAGTCCCGGCCCCTGTGTGCTGAGCTCAGGCTCTCTGCTCCCCACATGCCCACGGGGTCCCCACATGGCCCTTTCCTTCCCACAGGCACACGTGGCCCCACGGGATTATGTTCAGCCCCCAGGACCTCTACCCCCCATGGTCTCCGTCCTCCCTACAGCATCACAACATTAACCTCTCGGTCCTCATTTACTCAAGTGTATGTTTCAAACCACCCTAACATCACCTTCTGTCACCTACTGTCCTAATTCTCACTAAATCCATCCTAGACCCTGAGCTCCATGGGGCTGGAGCTCTGCACACACTGCCAGCTCCCCCACAGTATCCGTCACAGAAGGGAGGTCCAGTACATACGTGGGCATTCACATGCCCCCACGTCATCTCCTAATTCATCTAACATGTGTGTCCATCTGTGGATACCCCAGGGCGTCTAACTGGGTATGATGGGGACCTGCTGAGCCCACGTGTCATGAAAACATATGAATCACAGTGACACAAGCACTATTGCAGGACAGGCCTGTATCAGGTGGGGGCATAGCTGGCTGCTGACCCCTGTGACTCTAACAATGCAGAAGCCTGAGGATACAGGTCATCCTGATGGAACCTCCTGAACAGAGCACCATGGTGGACACCTCATGGGTGGCTGTGGTGACACAAAGGACAGGGAACAAAGTGGATGCTGGTGACTCCTCATGTCTCAGTGATCAGCCCATATGTAGAGTCAGACATTTGTGAGCTAAAGGTCTGGGAAAGACATGAAGCAGGACTGAGAGGGGTCCCAAAACTGGAGGTATGTTAAGAAGATAAATTTAAGATATAGAAAGGCACATGAGTTGGGTGTATTTAAGCTGGATAAAAAATAAAGGATAACTGAGTATTACTCTCAGTACAAACACTTAATATATTCTTTTCCGACTTGGTTAAATATTTACTCACTCTCTCTAAAGCATCCATTTGGCTGTACCCTCAAAGAGCTAACCACCAACAATTGCACTATTGTATCAAGCAGAATATATCTCATTTTTGTGACTAGAAAGGGGTGTAAGTGCTGCAAGGT